TGAGAAACTGGCCACCCTCAAACTTTCTTGCGAACCTTCTGCCACAACAATCCTGCCCCCTTGATAATCGACCAATCACATTCACTTTATTAACTCGTGTAGAGTCGTGCACCACTCAGGAGACTTCGGAAATGCAACGGTTGGAACAGCGGCTTCCCTACGACTTTAAATCCCTAAAATAAAAACAAAACAAATTACAGCTTACTGTTCTGGAAGAAAAAGAAGTAGCTCTTTAATGCAGCTTTCTTTCATTAGTTGAAGAATTGATTTTGTTTTGCAGAATGTTCATGTACGTGTTCCTGGGTGGACTGGTTCTCCTGCTGCTCTTTGGGATGTATCAGGTTCTGGAGACCAGGACGGTATGCATTTGTTTTTCTGTTTGAATGCATGAACGCCATATATGGATCCAGATGTGAGGTAGAAGTCCCCTTGATTTAGGCATGCAGACTGTTTGAATAACTGTCAACTAATTTGGTTATTGAATCAAATCGTTACCTAAAATAATGATACACAGGCTCTAAAACATGCTATTTGCTAAAAGAATATCTGATTTAAATGGAGTGGCAATCTAGTGTTTAGGGCATAGAGCTTGGAATCCTAATGTTCTGAGTCTCAGCCCCACTCCCACAGACTGCCACTCTGGGTCTCTGAGCAAGACCCTTAACCCCATGCTGCTCCCCGGGCGCCCCACAATGGCAGCCCACTGCTCCCCAAGGGAATGGGTTAAATGCAGGGGTACATTTTGCCAATTTGAGACCAATAATAATAAATAGAATAAATGGATAGAATAGAATGATAATAAATAGAATAAAGTTAAATTATAAAAGCTGCAGGTAAAACAAAATGGTTCAAAACATATCAACATTGCTTATATTAATATAAAAAATTATATATATTATTAAATGCATATGTAAGTTTTAATATATGATTTGTACATTTTTTTGCAATTTGCATTTTTTTTTGCAATTTGTCTAAATTGAGCAATGAAACCGTTTTTTCTACATTTGAAACATTTATTTGTTTAACAATATCAATTTACTGTAGATATTCCTTTCTAGATAAAACAATTCCTGTAGATATTCCTTTCTAGATTAAACAATTACTGTAGATATTCCTTTCTAGATGAAACAATGAATTGAAAAAAAGATCTATTAATTACCAAGAGAATTAATAGCTGCTGCCCTATGCAGAACAGCTGGATTTATACGGAGATTAAATTATACACAGTTGGACCAGTTCCCAAGACCATCGCTCCATTTTATGTGTGGTTATCAGAGTAAAAGGGGCTGAATGTCCAACTTCTGAGGTTTTATGAAGAGGTATCTATCTATCTATCTATCTATCTATCTATCTATCTATCTATCTAAAAATCCTCCCATATACATTGAATATTGATGTTTATGAATGTTTTTGCTTTAGCTGGGCCTCTTTAAATCGTTCACTTTGTTTTCTGCAGAGGAAAAGGCTTCCTGTGAAAATAGAGAAGGGTACCACTGGAGTAAACGACGTAGACATCAGCTGGATTCCTCAGGAGACTCTTAATGCCATGAGTATGACATCTGTATTTTCCTGTATTTGTTTTTATGGAGGAAAAACAAAAAGAATCACATTATTCATGTAATTTTTTAATTTACCTCTGATTTTCTAGAATCTTCGCCAAAAACATCTCCACGGAAACGAACCAAGAGGGCAGCCGGGGCCGACCAGTAACCCTGACTCGCCGTACTGGGCCTCTTTGCCTTTCCATTCACAAAGGATCAAGCTTTTGGCTTTTCAGACACTAAAGAGACATTAAGACACATTTTAAAGATACATTTGTTTTCAAAAATCAACATTTATGTAGTGAAACTTGTTGGAGCTGTGGTACAAACTGCCAGACGGAAGCTGTGAAGCCAAAACTGTGTTAAAGAGGTTTGCTCCCTGCTTTATCAGGATAAAACGAATAATCTGACTTTAAACCAGAAGTATTTTATTTGTTGGTCAAGTTTTATTTTGATCCTTCTTCTTTAAATCTAACGCATCTAAACCTTACTTACTAACTTGGAGCCTTGTAAAGTCTTTTGTTTGTGCTTTTATTTTCTTTAAGAGTAACAACGGCAGCTGTTATGAACTATCAATCTTTTCCCAACTTTTTTACAGGTTTATTTACCTGTTTTATTCTCTCCTCCTCAAAGATGGAGGCTTTTATCCTCTTGATGAGGTGTTTCGCATACTCCATCCATATGAATGGATAAGTCCGTTTTTCATAGTGTTGGTGTTAAATACAGGTCATGAAAGTTCATCAGCTTTATAAACTGGGTAAAAGCCAAATAAAGTACTAAAATATGGAGTGAATTTTATTATATTACTGTTCCTGTCAAAGTCATTATAGTTCATTTGTGGCAGGCAGAAGTGGATAATCCAAGTCCAGAGTATAAACCCCTGTACATAGATTAGTTCCAACTATTTGTACCATATCTACTTCTACAACACAGACAGGGAGCTACTGTTATCACCTGGTTATGTGAACAGGATAAAGAAAAAACTGGGCAGGGTTTTACTTTCTGAACCTGACTTACCTAGCCTGACGTAGTCCGACTCAATTCTAGTCAGAATATGAGTCTGATACTGCTCCATAGAGCTGTGATTATGGGGCGTGTTTCGAACGAACCAGGAAAAAAAATGCCTCTGCACTCAATTGGATAGACCTACAACCAATAAGAGCAACGGAGTGCGTGACGTATTTTAAGCGAGGCATAGTTGTTGTCCACAAAAATCAAAGCGTGCAGTTGCACGCCTATAATAAGAATATGAGACTTGATCGCGTTTCTCTGTTCCTCTTTTAAAATTAATTTGCTGTCGATATCTTCTAGAACAGACCTAATAGCAGAATCTACACACCTAAACTCTCCAGCGGCAGCCATTATTGTTGTCACCCAAGCGCGCATTGGTCACGTGGTTGATTACGTTACTGTTTGTCAGCTGTCCATCATCGTATAAAGCCCGCCCTGACAATTTGATTGGATCGCCTGACAGTGGGCTTTAATACTCGCGCTACTATGGAGCAGAGCCAGACCGAACTTCCCCGATCTCAAACTTTGTGGGCGGGACTAAGTTCGGACTGGCACCCAGGCTATGACTTACCCACATCTGGTAGCAATACATTAAAATACTGTTCTGTAACAAGACAATGTCTGAGACAATGACCGAACAGGCTGGGAGCAGGTTTTAGGTCGAGTGTATGCAGGTAGAACAAACTGATGAAAGTCAGAAACAGTATAAAAGCTGACCAGAGTGAGAGGCTGATAAAAATTGACCAAGCACTGGAAAAAAGAAGGGTTGGCAATGCACTCTGACACTAGAGTGATTCCCGTCGGGCAAGGAGGAGACAATCTGGTGGGGAATAACTGAGAGAGTCAGTTAGAAATAATGTGCCCGCTTATTCTGAATCACATTGTGGAGTAGAGCAGGTTGAGGCAAACAGCCAGCCCGTCCAGAAAAACAAAGAAACACCAGGCATCCTGCATGAAAGCTCTCCATCCGCTCTGACTGCGGAACCATGTTTCAGAAGATGGTCAAAAATGTTTGATCTAGATGTGCAGCAACAAAAATGTATTCCACCAAATAAACCAAGGACTATACATGCATTTAAGATATTTATTTGATTTTAATTCCTATCCTAGTTTACGATGTATCAATTTAGCAATTCCTCAAACTATACTTTATGTTTAATCCTTTTCAGGTATGAGGGGATAATCCTGCTCTTTGTTGATTGAATCGATTATAACGCAACATATTCAGCCTCCCGTAATTCAGTTCTTTGGTTTAAGAAACTGCAAAATAAAAGTAAGTGGATCATAAGCAATATTTATGGTTATTTACTGTGTTTTAAGAGAAAAATAAGGAGTTTATTTTTTTCCAACTGATTTTTTCACTATGCCATTCATTCATTTATACAAATCTTACTTTGTTAAATAAATATTTAGTTTGCAAATAAAATATTTAGTCTGTTAAATATTTAGCTCCAAACTAAATATTTAGGTTGCAAATTTAAATATTTAGCTTGAGACTAAATTTTTAGTTTGTTAAATAAATATTTAGCTCCGAACTAAATATTGTTTTTAACAAACTAGATTTTTAGTTAGCCTGGTGCTAGCTAAATATTTAGCTAGCTTGATACTAGTTTGTTTAGTTTGTTAAATAAATACTTAGCTTCAAACTAAATATTTAACAAACTAAATATCAAGTTTTTTTTAAATAAATATTTAATTTAGAGCTAAATATTTATTTAACAAACTTAATATCAAGTTTGTTAAATAAATATAAATTTAGAGCTAAATATTTATTTACAAACTAAATATCAAGTTTGTTAAATAAATATTTAATTTAGAGCTAAATAATTATTTAACAAACTAAATATCAAGTTTGTTAAATAAATATTTAGCCCTAAATATTTAGCTAGCTAGTTTGTTAAATAAATATTTAGTTTCAAACTAAATATTTAACAAACTAAATATCAAGTTTGTTAAATATGTAGCTCTAATTTAAATATCTATTTAAACAACTAAATAGTTAGCTAGCTTGATGCCAGTTTGTTTAGTTTGTTAAATATTTAGCTTCTAACTAAATGTTTAGTTTTCACATTAAATATTTAGTTTGTTAAATAAATATTTAGCTCCAACCTAAATATTTATTTAACAAACTAAATATTTAGCTAGCTTGGTGCTAGTTTGTTCACTTTGTTAAATAAATATTTAATTTGGAGCAAAATATTTTTTTCAACTATATATTAAAAATGGAGCTAAATATTTATTAAAAAAAACTAAATAGTTAATTTGCAGACTAAATATTTAGTTTGAAAAAACGTTTAGCTCCAAACTAAATATTTTTTTAACAAAGTAAGATTTTTATAAATGAATGAATGACATAGTGAACAAAATGACTCCACTTTCCACTTAAAAAAAGCTAAATATTGCTCCTAATTTTGGAGCCCAGAGAACAGGCTGTGCTCCAGGAGGTGGGAGCCGTCCGGAGCTGAGGAGGGGCAGGGAGATGAGCTCAGCGCCCGCCGGGGGGCAGGTAAGAGAGGGAGGGAGAGCAGGAGGAGCAGATCGGAGATCCACATCTAAGGAGGTTTTTTATCGAGACTCTGCGATGAAATAAGAAGGAGCAGCTAATCTGCTCCGTGCATGAGAAGAAGCAGCCTCCTCCTCCTCCCAAAATCTTGCCTGGATTGAGATGGGATGAAATGGGATTATTACTCATGTCGATGAAGATCGGATGGATGTTTGCGATCGCCTTTGGTAAAGTAGTGCAAAAACCTCGTTTTCTAAAGGATCTGGGAAAAGAGAGCTATTATTAGGCTTCGCTTATTTTTATCTCCATGCATCTCATCCTTTTTTCTGGGTGGGTGTTTATCTTTATCTGAGGAATGCGTGACGATGGTTATATGAGACCTGCACCTCCACCAGCTGGAAGTACAGGCTGCAAGCTTCACAGCATCCACAGCATTTCAGATTCACTTCTGTGCCACTTATTTATACTCACATCCAGGTCAGCTGCATCTGAGGTCTATCTAACAGATTAGATTAGATTAGATTAGATTAGATTAACTTTATTGTCCCGAAGGACATTTGATTTGGGTACAGACTCTGGCTGCTATATAGTCCTATGTGTCACTCTGCATTCACACATAAAAACACTGTTATAGAAATTCCATTATAAGACAATAAATAAATACATAAGGAAGCATGTTACATTACATTCACAATAAAACATATTTTTAATGGTATAAAAACCTTTTTTTTTTTAAATCTGTTATATGACGTAATGAAAGCATAAAAGAAAGCATGTCAGTTTAGTAGCTCCAACAACTGCCTTAAAGGAAGCACCAAGATCAATACGCACCTTGCTGAATTGCTTTTAGTCCTCAAACTTTTCTACATTTTGTTACATTAGAACTGAACACTTCAAAGTATCTGGAATATAATGCAGCAAACATCCAGAGGGGAATAATAAAACCAAATAATAAACACACATCTATTTTACTGAATAAAAGATACATAGTAATTAGGCTTGTCCCGATCCGATCCACGTATCGGATCGGGACGCCGATATTGGCAAAAAATGCGTATCGGCAACAGAGATGGCAAAAGTATTCACTTTCCCTACTTGAGTAAAAGTACAGATACTTGTGTTAAAAAATACTCTGGTAAAAGTGGAAGTACTGATTAAACTTTTTTACTCAAGTAAAAGTAACAAAGTACAGGCTTGTAAATTTACTTAAAGTATAAAAGTAAAAGTAGAAACCACTTTTTTCATGCCGTTGCCTACATTTCAAATGGATGTCTGCCAATAGGACTAGATCTCCGTTGTGTTCATTTTCAATCATGTCGTCGTCCATGCTACTATGCTAACGCCACCGGCATCAAGCTGCAATGATTTGCCGCGAATGAATACCGCCGAATCTGTCGATTCATCTTGTAGTGGTGCGTCAAATGCAACGTAGATTCCCATCCAATTAGATTGAATTTGGTATTGATGACGTGAAAAATAATAACGGTAACTCCATTGAAATGATTCAAAACTAAAGTAACGAGCCAATTTTTAAAAATGTAAGGAGTAGAAAGTACAGATATTTGCGTAAAAATGTAAGTAGTAGAAGTAAAAAGTCGCCATAAAAATAAGTAGTAAAGTAAAGTAAAAATATCAGAAAAATCTACTTGAGTACAGTAACAAAGTATTTGTACTTCGTTACTTCCCATCTCTGATCGGCAAAGCATGTAAAATGCCGATCCAGACTGCCGATCCAGTTTTAAAAAAAAAAATCCGGTCCGTATTTTCCAGTTTCGCCGATTGAAACGACCCATTCTACTATTTTGTGCCAGTGTTTCCCTGTTTTGCATTTTTATTAAAACTTACAGTAATACTTGTACCTTTAACTGTTTACGGTTTTACTGCTCACTGTGCAATTTCAGATTGCTATTCATAATTTTGTCCAGTTTGTGTTTATCTCTTAATAAACAGGTAAGTTTGTTGTTACCAAGCATTGTGTTTTATTCAATCTCACCTAATTTAGCTGGCTAGATGTTATCAAGAGTACTAAAACCCTTTTCAACATGAGTCTTGCAACTAAGGCTAAATACTTTAACTTAAACTTAAATACATGCTCGGATAGGCTGGTATCGGCCAGTATCGGTATCGGATCGGAAGTCCAAAAACAATATCGGTATCGGATCAGAAGTGCAAAAACCTGGATTGGGACATCTCTAATAGTAATAATGGCTTTATATGTTTTGAGGGGTCAAAAATATAAATTTCTGGTTATAATTCCAATACTGATATGAAGGGATTCTGCATCACCAGTAGTATTAGGGTAAATTAAAGGAGTCAGGCATTGCTTTTGTATCTCTGCTTCTATCTCCTTGAACCCCAGTCGGCCTCAGCAGATGGCCGCTCACACTGAGCCTGGTTCTGGTGGCCGTTTCTTCCTGTTAAAAGGGAGTTTTTCCTCCCATCTGTCACCACAAGCATGCTTAGTGTTAGAGATTGCATTCAAGTCAATGAGTCGATGCAATCAGCTGGTTTTCCTTAGAAAACTTAATCAATTTGACTGTATGATCTGGTGAACTGTAAAGTGCCTTGAGATGACATGTGTTTTGAATTGGCGCTATATAAACAAAATGAATTGAATTGAATTGTTAAGATCTTAGTAGCTCCCTGATAGAGCTGAGAAATGGCTTCTTCTTTGTGCTAACATTTTAAGATAAAAAAAAACAACATTTTAGTGCTGAATCTGGGCCCCGCCTAATACTGGTATTGGTATCGGTGCAACACTAGTAAGCATTAGCTTTAGCATTGGTGGATCTATCACCTTTAAGTAATGAAGGATTTTGAAGCAGGTGATGGATTTTTTTAAAGCATCTCCGCAGGATGATGCTGCCACCACCGTACTTAACCACAGGAATGTTTCAATCAGGCTAAAGTGTATGGCTAGTTTTCAGGTTAGACAATGCGGCTCAGCTGTCCTCCTTCATGTGCATGGCTAGTAGCCAAGTAGAGGGCTTCTTTTTTTTGTTCTTCTAGCCATTCTTAAATGAAGGGATCCACTAAATTTCTACACAGATCTACTAACCACAGGGGAGCTGATGCCTTTCTCCACTCAAGGCGTGGCACCACCAAAGTTTGCAGATTTTTCTCTAATGTGGAGCTGAATTTATGCTGAGATTCAAGCTGGACTCTTTTAACAGCTTTTAGCTTAGCATGTTCTCCTGCATGTTACAGTAGCAGCCATTCACAATGGCCATTTTCCAGTCAAATGCCAGACGAAGGGCAGCTCACTCCCCTGCAAGTCCCAGCAAATTCCCCTCTATGAACCCAACATATTTTTTACTTGGGCTCCACCCGTTCCCTGAATCACAGGATCTGACAGGAGATAACCCTTCTCTTTAGATCTTAATGTCCACAAATCATGACAGAAATAATATTTTACTACAAAGATTGATGTTTAAAAGGAATTGTAGGGGGGCATCCAGGGGCCAATTAAGGAGAGTGGGGGAATTTTGAATGGCTGCTACTGTATTTAAAGGTATTATAATAGCCTGGGCTTCCTCGCTGTTTGGATTCTTTAGAAAAATAAACCATACTGGTTAAATGATATAAAAAATAGGACATAAAAATCAAAATAAAAAGAAAGCATTAAACATTTCTGTGCTGCACACTGCAAAAAGTTGAAATCTAAATAAATCATTTTTTTCTGAAATAATTGCAACTTTTCTTGAATTGATGAGGTAAGTAAGACAAAATAAGAATAAACTATTGCAGTATCCTATTTCAAGTGCATATTATCTAATTATCTTATTTCAAGAGTAGAAATACTCATTCCATTGGAAAATCATCTTTTTTACCTACTCAAATTAAGGGTAAATAAACTTAATTTAAGACATTTTTACTTTTTTCTAGATAGTTTTTGCAGTGTATTATACTTGTCCTTAGTCTTGATGCAAAGAAAACAAGTGCATTTGTTCTTGGATTGAGGAGGTAAAAGACACATTTAACCAATGGAACAAGACAATTTACATTGAAAGTAAGAAAACATAATTGCATTGTCTCATTTCAAGTGCATATTATCTATTTATCTTATTTATAGATTTAAAAAACTCATTCCATTGACAAAGTATCAAATTTACCTACTCAAATTAAGGGTAAATACCCTTAATTTGAAATGTTACTTATTTTCTAGATTGTTTTTCCAGTGCAGGATTGTGAACAGATTTGGTTGTTTCTTTCTAAATCCGTCCGTGTTGTTGTGTGTAATTATCCAAACCTAACAGGCTCTCTCTGTTTTGCAGTTTTCCTGTTCCAATCCGTGCCTGTAGACGGTGTCGATGTGAGGTGTGAGAACGTTTATAGGGACTTTTCTGAATGCGTCCTGGAGCTGGGGGAGAGCATGGACAACTACCAGGAGAACGTGACCAGTGAGCGGGGGGTGGAGGCCGTGTGCAGGTGACGCTAATTAGTTTCTTCAGCCATATGAAAATGATCAAACTATTTTTAGGGAAACATTCTTATATTCTCCAAATGTATTCTTTATTAGTGTCTAAATGCTTTCCTCTCATTTCCTCCTTTAGATGGAGGCAGATGTGTTCCAGTTTTCTAATAAAAATGCATTAAAAGAAATGCTTGTTCATTTTAAAATGAAAGTTGTCTATTTTGAAAAAAAATATATAATTTTTTTAATCAATTGAAATGATGAATAATAATTTTTCCCAATGAATTTCCATGTGAACAAAATAGATTCTAGAAGTCAGATTTATAGACTAAAAGGTATTTGCATAAATAGGTTTTCATTTGGAAATGGAATGTGATGATTATCTATTTCTTTTTAGTAACGGCAAATATTAACGATAATCCGAGCAGTAGTAGTGAGGATGATAATAATGATTGTTATTATTGTAAAGTGATTATTATCAGTACTACAATAAATAAAACTATTATCACTATAAGCATTTATTGGATATTGTTTATAGCATTACAGAATAAGAATTTTAAATTAAATAATTCTTTTTTGTGCATAGAAGGCTTTTTCCTACACCTTTTGAACAAAGAGTTTTTCAGTGGTGTCTGTCTCCCTTTGGTTCATCTTTGTTTTTTAATTATTGTGTTATGTTCGAACAGAACGCTGCATTTTGTGACTGATATATAAAATTAGCAACAGATAATCCAAACTTTAGTTTCCTTTCCTTCTTCAAGGCAACTCAATTTGTTCTTTAACTCATTTTCATAAGATTTCCTTGTAAAAAGTGATCAAAGTGTATTTAAAAAATTTTTATTTACCATTATAAATGGATTATTAGGAATGATTTTTTATCTTAAAATTAAGTCTGCATTTTCTGACTCATAAATAAAAGCGCTAATAGATCCTCCAAAGTTTTTCCAGACTGCTTTTAGTGTGTCAGAACTAAAGAGGAAATTTGCTTTTCCATTTGTATGCAAACCCCACAAAAAGAGATTTAAAAATCATTTTGAATTCATATTTCCAGGCAGCGCAGGAGAGACATTAGATCATACTCTCCTTTGAGTTTTACTTATTTATTTTTTCACTTTCTTCTTTTTCTTTCTTCCCTCCATAAATCTTCCATTATTTCTGCCCTTCTTTCTTCCATCCTTTCTCCCTTCTGTCTTTCCTTCCTCAGAAACTTTTATTTCTTTGTTTTTATTACATTTTTCTTTCCTTACTTCTTTTTCTTCTTTAATTCTTTTCTTGCATCTTTTCTTCCCTCAGCCAGCCTTTCCTGCTTTATTTCTTCCTTCATTATTTAACTCTTTAATTCCCTCCTTGTTTCATTTCTTACTTCATTATTTCTTTCCTTCTTTGTTCCCTTTCCTTCATGCTTTCTTCTTTATTTCCTTCCTCCCTTTTGTTTCTACTTTGTTACCATCACTCCTTCCTCATCTTTTTAAACCTTAAACATAATACCAGTGTATCTGCAGTAAAGTGACAGTGAACTTCTATTGTTTCCTTTAGAAATTGGCTAACCTCACTTTTGGGAAAACTGCAATTGATTTTAGATCTAAATTCCAAAAACGGGTCAAATTCTTCAATGAAGTGATCAAATCTGAAACACTTTCACATCATTTCAGTTCAGTTAGTACAAGTAATGGGTGTGAATATTTATGCCTAATCAAGTCCTGTACAGAGGGGGCCAGATGCTTTAATCTCACGGTGAAAATAGAGAAATAAAGGATGCTGAGACTGTTTAATCGTGTTAAATAATGTATGACTTCACTGCAGCAGTAATGAAATCCAGGGAACAATTTCTTTTACTTTGTTTCAGCACAAACTCTACATCTCTGGCAGTTTATTGCAGGCAAAGATTTACACTTACAAGGCTTCTGTTGAGAATTGCCCACTTGTAATATCATCTGCGATATTGTCTCGCTCCCGGATGCTGTTGCCATGGCGATCCAAAACGGGTTTTTGACTCACTGGAGGCCATGTGAGCAGCAGACTATTGGCAGCTAATTAATCCACAGCCGCAGAAGAATGTGCGAGAAGCTGTGGCAGGGTGGGTTCTGATGGCCCCTTTGTTTGTTTTGTCACAGCCACTGGGAGGCTTTCCACACGTGTGCTCTCACTGCGCTGTCAGACTGTCAGGAGGAAGTCAGCTCCATCTGGGAGACCCTGCGGCAGGACTCCAGGAAGATCCGCTTCCAGGGAAGTCTGTTTGACCTGTGCACCCCCAGCTGCTCACCCAGCGTACGTTTGCCGCTGGCCGCTCTCATCCTGCCCCTAATGCTGGTCCTGACTGGGCCTAATGGGGCCCCTTTATAGATGCTATTCTGCTGGATGATAAGACGGGTGATAGGATGTAGGGCTCTTCTGTTTTAATGAGTTCCTCTACTTTTAAAGCCAAGGATTTAAAAGGGAGAAATGTTTTTTTTTTTTTTTTTTTTTTTTACACTGAGCTGTTTTTGTCGTTGGTAGGACAATCAATTCTGGTCAATAACGTTTCATGACTTTTAAAAATACCAAAACACTTTTTCTCCATGATATGATTCATAAACTACACCTTTTATGATTTCCTATGGATCCCATATGAATCCCATTGGTCAGGCTTTTACTTGGCTTTTTTCAGGGATCAATTGGACTCAATAAATAAACCTCATATCCAAAATGTGTGTTTAAGCAAATCAAGTGTAACACATGTGAATCGTGGTTGTGCAATGAAAACGAAATATAGTTAAAACATTAAAAGTTTAAATTCCTTTAAATTAATCAAATGTTAATTACTGATTTTTATAATCTGGGTCTTATTATTCCTATAATTATTTATTCTCCCATTGCTAGCATATTTTAGATAAACTACATACAGAGGCTTGAATAAATATTCATAACTCTTAAACTTTATTATTGACTTGATTTGTTCAGTGAAGTTCTCTTGACCAGGGGTTCCCAAACATTTCAGCCTGTCACCCTCCCCCATGCAGGGGACAAAACATCTCACCTGGGCAGCCAGACCACAGTTGCTACTAATGACCCCCCCCTTTTAGAGGGAGGGACCAGTATCGGGTATTGGAGGTAAACTTAGAACCCAAACGACTCCACATTCCTAAGGGGCAGACCCGTTTTTCTGGTTCAATTTGTGTGTTTTCTAAGCCACAACAACTTATTGGGCTACTATATAAAGCTTCGAACTTGGCGCTAATTCTTACATTTAATTTAAAAAAGCTTCCTGGATGGGAAGCAAAACGTCTTAAAACTTCTTAACAAAGTGCAGTGGATTGTTTTTTAACTTTTTTTGTAACCCCTACAAAAACACATAATTATTTTATGTTGCCATCTTTCATACGTAGAAAATGAAATATTTATGGTTCTTTTTAAGTGAATTCTTTTTTAATTAGATTTTATTTTTCAGTTCATCATTTTAAAGGTATTTTAAATAGTTTAATTTATTTATTTGATTTTGCATTTTATTTATTGCATATTTAATGCTTGAATCATGCATTAGATAAATAAATAAACTTAATTCAATTAACTTTATTTATTTAGCGCCAATTCACAACACATGTTTTCCCAAGGCACTTTACAGTTTACCAGATCATACAGTCCAGTTGATTGCATCGACTCATTGACTTGAATGCAATCCCTCACACTAAGCATGCTTGTGGCGACAGTGGAGAGCAAAAACTCCCTTTTAACAGGAAGAAACCTCCAGTAGAACCAGGCTCAGTGTGAGCGACCATCTGCTGAGGCCGACTGGGGTTCAAGGAGCTCCGAGCCAGCTCCCATGTCAGAAAATGAAGAGAGCACATCCAGCCAGTCACATTCAGAGAAACAGGACTAATAATATTAGATAAAGTTGCCTTTTATAAATCTGGTGTGTCATGATTTTAAATACAATAGTGAGTTCTGTTATTAAAATAGAACATTTTAAATAAAAATATAATTATTAGTTGATGAAATGGATACAGTATTTGAAAACTTTGTAAACTAATCATTTTTGTTTTAGTGTGTTGGTGGGACAAGTTAGACACTCATCAAATGCAGTAAATTAATGTGGATATGACGTTGAATGTGGATATGAAGTTTTATACCTTAAGAAAAATAAACATGATATTTTAAACATGATATTTATGCACATTAAACTACAATCGGCTATAAAACAGGTTTAACCCTGAAAAATAAAGCTTTTTAAGCCAAACAGCATTAATAAAATAGACTTTAGTTAAATTAAGCAGCAGTTGCTCCATTCCAGACAACGGCTTGGTCGACTGTGTTTATATTACAGGATATCAAAGGGGGTGGCAGACTAATGGTTAGAGCATTGCGCTCAGGTCCTGTACATTCTGAGATCAAGTCCCACTCTTTCCCACTGACTGTCACTCTGGGTCCCTGAGCAAGACCTTTAACTCCACACTGCTGTCTGGGTGCCTCACAATGGCAGCCCAAAGCTCCCCAAGGGGATGGGTTAAATGCAGAGAGTTCATTTTGTTGCTCTGTACTGGTTGCATTGTAATAACAATAAAGTTGAATTCTATTCTATTCTATTAAAAATGCTAAATAGGTCCAGTTGAGATGTATTGCAGAACAACCAGTTGTAAGTCAGTGTTGCTTAGAGTTTAGACGATGCTTTGTTAGATGAGAGTCACTTTGTTTGTTGTAACTGATGTGGCGCTAAAACGATACTTATCCAGTAGTAAGAAGGCCAAGAGTGTCCCCCAGGCTCAGACCGGTAATCTGTGATACTGGGAATTTGGCTGGTAGGCCTGTCCAAATTTCAGCGTGCAAGGCTTGGTCCTCCTTAAATCATAGCGGCCCCAACACTTACTCTACGGCCAAAGCTCCTACCTGTAACGGTAAATAACTCAAGGAGCTCAAGAGGTAATCCGATGTTAACTATCTAAATGATGCAGGCAGTATATATAGCCCTTCCTCTTCATGCACATCCTAGTGACGGTTGGCATATTTTCTATTTCTTCAAACTGTAAAATCCTTGCAACAAACTAAATTATAATAAAACTAAAATGTATTCTTTAAACCAAATTATGATGTTCCTCATGTATTTGGCGAATTTATGTTTGAATATGTTGCAGGGCTTGATGGGGTTTGGAATCTAAAGGCTAATGTTTCCCATCTTACGTGCATTGTTGCCAGGTTGGGATGTTTCCCAATCTGGCAGTTAAGGATGGCCGTCTCTGGGTAAAAAATGTTTTTCTTTAGATTTATGGCCTAAGAGATCAATAGACTTTGGTTCAAATTGGGAGAGATTTCGTACATCCAGGCGGTTTATGAACATTTCCTGGGCTTACAGTGACATCTTTTAACCCTGCTAATTAGGTTGTAGACCTAGTATGTGTGAGTGGGTGTCTGGCTGACTTCGTGCAAGTGTGGATGCTACGCAGCAGCAGTCACTGTGGCGTCCGTGTTAATAACCAACAGCAGGAAAACCGCATTATAGAAGTCTTTATGATGGTTGTTGCGTGATGCTTGAAGATAGATAATAAATAATCAACAATGTGTATTCGTATTGTGTTTCACATTTGAGACGCACGCGTTTGACTGTAGGGGGGTCCATAAGTGGGCCGGTGTAGATGGAAAAATGCCAGGGCCGAAAATCGTTCCCAGTCCGAGGCTGGTTTCCCCCATACAATGATATGAGCACCAGTAGCCTAAACAGTTTATAAAAGGCAGGAACGATAAGTTAAAACCAACAGCAGGATGTCAGTGTGAACAAACCTTATTATTTATCATTTACCGAAAAACAGCTGGAGAATTTGGTTAACTAGAAAAAACAGAAGTTAATAGGCAATCAGGGATAGAGTGGGTCAAATGCTACGATAGCTTATTTTTTTGTAAAGAAAAAGTGATGTAAAGCGACAATCATACGGTAGTTGTGTAAAAGGACATGCCTCTTTTTTTATTTGGCCTTCTGCCTTAAGTCACAGCTTTCATTATTATTATCACCTGTTGATGTGTGTGTAAAATCAAAGCTGCAGGTTAAACATAGAAAGATCTGCTTGAATATTGTTCATCTGCAGTGAATATGGTTTATAATAGTTAAAATATAAGTATAAAATAAGAGTGGGACATTTGGAAGGGAAATTAATTATTTATGATTCATGTGCATGGGTGGTTCTAGGCAAGGGCCAACAGGGGCCAGAGCCCCTGTATAATATGCACTGAAACAGACATAGTAATGGATTTTTTTCCCTATATACATATATATATATATATATATATATATATATATATATATATATATATATATATATATATATATATATATATATATATATATATATATATATATATATATATATATATATATATATATATATATATATATATATATATATATATATACATATATATATATATATATATGTTTATATAGTTCCCTGGTTGCCCCACGATGGTTTCCCAAGGGGAAGGGTTAAATGCAGAGGTAAATTTCTCCAATGTGAGATCAATAAATTTTAAAATGAATTATTGTCAAGCCATATATAATCTGTAATAGATTTTTCCGACATTTTGCAGGCAGATCACTAACTAATCCCAACATTGTATAGAGCCCTTTTCATTTGTAACACAGCTGATGGTGCTGCTTCACTTGCCACGTCCATTACCAAAGAGTCAACCATTGAGGTTAAATTCACTGACAAACATGAGTAACACCATGCAGCCCTGAAACAAATTCACCTTTTTAAACCAGAAGTAGATTATTTTATTTACTTTTGATTTACTCGGTATGGAATTTTAAATTTCAGATACACTGCAAAAAAATTTTTAATCTAAATAAGTAATTTTTTCTTAAAATAAGTGCTTTTTTTCATTGAATTGAGGAGGAAAGTAAGACACTTCTTCAACGGAACCAGACAATTTACATTTAAAATAAGAAAAAACAATTACATTGTCTTATTTCAACTGCATATTATATAATTATCTTATTTTAAGAGAAAAAATACTAATTCTATTGGTATTTCATCGTATTTACCTGCTCAAATTAAGGTTAAATACACTTAATTTAAGAACTGTTTACTTATTTCTGGATCGCTTTTGCAGTGTAAAGTGAATTTAACATTTAAACCAGACTTACTCATTTTCAATTTTAACAACATACAAATGAATTGAGCTAAATTAAGTTGATTTTTTTTTTTTTCATTGCAGAGTGGCGCTTTGGTTTCATGCCTCACTAAATATGTCACATGATAAAATATTTTCCTGTTCCTTCTGAGCCTCTCTAGTAATTTTGGTTTAGGGAGGTTTTTTTTCTTTTCCAGAATCCATTTGGTTTAATTACTTTGTCCACTATCAGCAAAAATAGACCAAAACCACCTTTGGATTTCTGACTGTTTGGTCACAATCAGATAACGTTATGAAACCCATCTGGTTTCATCCAAAGTTCTGCATTTTACCTCTACAAGAATAAAAAAAATCCTATCTATAACACAATTTCTAGCATGTTTTTAGCCTTAATACGTCCCACATCCCCCATATGGGAGCCTTAGCTGCGCCTAGTTTATTCAATATTTTCTGAACAGCAAAGCCTGTGCTGCCTCATGGCAATCAGAGACACTCCAGGAAGTCACCAAATAGTTCAAATCATAGCTAAGAAATGTCTGAATAGTTTTTACACCAAAGTCCATAACCTAGTTCTGCACTTTGCAGCAACATATTTAACATTTTCAAAATCATCTGGTAAAAATAAAACATCTGCAATACTCCATAAATAGTGAGGGCAGAATCTTTTTTATTTTTTACTGCAGAGTGAAGGAAGGAACTGTGACCTGTTTAGCATGTGTTTGCTCAAGTTTTACCTAAATGGTGTCAGACTTTTTTTGTATATCTATATATATATATACACATATTTCCTCTAAAGCCAACATTCCTAGCAGGTGTTTGCAGATGTTTGATTCTGAGATTTAATTCCTCTCGCATGATATTTTATAGAGATCGACCGATAGAGGTTTTTAAAAGCCAATCAGTCTAACCCAACACCAATATCTGCGGTATCTTATTCAGGCCGATATCACTGATCACGACACAATGATCAAAAATGTTACACAACTTTGAATTTAAACAAATCAAACAATAGATAACAAATGGATGCATGCACCTTACATGAAACAAACCCATGGCTGCTGAATGCACTAATTAATCATCCAACGCATGCATGCATTGACCAATGCCGGTATCTCTAATATGTATCGGTCTATCTCTATTATTTAGCTCATGAAACGTTGATTCTAGCTTGAACA